CTCAAGTGTGCATTGTTATTGAAGTGGACCCTCCTAATACCGTCAGTAACACTGAATGGTCAGCAAACATATATGTGGCTGATCCTGTGAAAATCTGGCTCCTGGTAAGCCAGGAAAACGTGAGCTGAAAGACCAATGTGACACACAAGAAAAGTTGCATATCAGCTGCTTCAAGTGGAGTATGGAGGATTGGCTCATGCAAAGAGCTAACAAATAATAGAATGAGGAAATGCTAAATAGTAGAATTGTAATTATTTGCTATGTAGCACTTTATGCATTAAATGTCTGACAAACACTAATCTTCACAACATCCTGGAGAGGTACGTATTGTTCCCATTTAACAGATGGTGGCACTGGGACAGAGGTTAATGACTGGGCCAAGCCAGCAGAAAAAGTCCATTTCCATGTTCAGACCACATCAGATTGAATAATGAATACCAATAGAATGTAAATATAGCACCTGATACGTTCTACACTGATCCATGCCATCTTCACAAAACCCTCAAGAAGAGTACAGAAAAGGTCAGACAAGAGCTGCTGTTTATCTTTGATCACCCACTTTCTTGTTTATGAATGTAAATAAAATGAAATTAAATGCAAAAAAATATTTGTTTAACCAGGGCACACTTAAGCTGTACACCTCACTGCTACAGGATGTTAATGAGGTACCAAGTTTGCTATGATTAAATATATATATTAATTATATTTAATATATGATTAAATATTTATACTAATACCCACAGCCAGAATTGCTTGGGTAGAATGTATGGCATATGAACATACATACTTTAGGCCATAAGTCTGCCACTAACTACCCGGGGTTGAGAAGAAACTTCCCCTCGCGTAGGCACGTCCTCCTAACTGTCCATTATAGTGGATTTTACACACTTCTGTGAATCACCTGGTCCCAGATACTGATGGAGATAAGATTTTGGGCCTCTACAGGTATGACATGACTTAAAGCCTTTGAGTCTGCCCCCCCTTAGACATTGGAGTACATTGCCCTGTCTGTAAATGTTCATAGTTTAAGATGCCCAGGAGACTAAATAATTCACAGAGTGTTAACACTTGGTTTCCGCTGTTTTGAAAGATTCTGCCAGCTTGTCTGCCTGTTCTTAAAGTGGGGAATACTGCTGATACTGGCCACGTTTCAAAACTGGGGGGAAAAGCTTGTGAAGTGTGGCCATGGTACTATAATAAATAAATGTTAACAAAATAATAGACTTCCCATGTTTAGGCCAAAAAAGTCAAACCTGATTTTTTGGTTTAAATATTAGTTTTATTCTATGTGTGTGAGGTTTTTATGACTGTGCGCTGGAACTGAAGGGGGGAAGTGCTGTTAAACCACAAAGTGTGGCGCTCATGATTACTCCAGCACATTTTCTTCAGACTCATGAGGTCCAGAAAAAGTAGTCAAACCCTGTTTTGTAACCTTTAGACGTTCATCTATGATTAATTCTAAGGTAATCCAACTTGCCTGGTAATGCAACCAGTACAGGGATGTGTTATGTTTACCAACACAGAGCAACTATGTACTTTCAGTTACATGACTTCATTTTTAGATTAAAATAAAATCTACAAAAGCAAAGTCTACATAAGTGCACACATCTTTTGTAACAGTTGGCAGCAATTTGGAGAACAAAAGGTCTGCTGTCTCTGTACACAGGCAGTCTTGTAAGTTATTTAGAGTTGTAGTATATGGGAAGTAGAATAGAGCTACGCATACATAGAGCAGGTCTTTGGAAAATAACTTTCTAGTGAGTCCCTGTAGTTGGAGAGAATTTCCATAGCTTCATAGCTGCCAGGTCTTCCAATTGCCATTCATCCTCCCTTATGTAGTCCCCATTAGACTGCTCTGAAGCACTCACTCTTAAGTAGTTGTAAAATGAAAAGAGAATGCTGAAACAACACAAACACCTCCATTTAGTGTGGAAGTATGGTAAAAAGGCTTTTTTGCAAGGGAAACACACTTTCATGAGATCTGCATGCTGCTAGGTATTTAATCTTTTCTGAAATGTGTTTTTTGGTAAGCCCATTTACTTTGTAGTGCTTTTCCTCTCCTGCTTAAAAATGTCTAAATCACTGAATTTGAAAAATGCAAGCCTGCCTGCCTCCTTGCATAAAGAAGATGCAAATAGTGGTGACAGGTGTGAGAATATCAATGAGCAGTATAATGTGGCATTATAATGTGAAAACTACTCTGCCAGTGTGAAGGCTGAGGAAGCTCTTGCATTTGTCTATTTGGTTGGGGGGGAAGAGGGGGGATGCATGATACTTGTTCTAGAGCATACATACCCTTTAGGTTGAAGTTTTTCACCTTTCTTATTCCAAAGATAAATTTTGTGGTAAAGATAATTATACACCACCAATTTTAACTGTTTTTCAACCATAAAAAGTAAAGACCTCTATCCTCTAAGCAACTGAACTCCCTGTTCTGCTCCACTCTGAAAGGACATCAATTTTTGAATATACTGGCTGCACTGACAATTCCTTGAAATCCTGGACAAGCAGTTCATCTGGGGGTCTTTTATAGGTTCCAATTTCAGTGCTTCTCTGCTTCACTCCAATGAAGTGAAAATCTGGTTTCATAAGAATTACAATTTCAAGCTCATTGAGGAGAACTGCAAGTCTTGACACTATCTCTCCATAGGACTTGATTTCTCTCACCTATGTCTGAAAGAATTTGTAGACATATTTGAAGATGGATCTTGTCTTTATTTTTCTGTAATGCACCTAACTCACTTTTAGACAACATGTATAAAATTACATTTAAAAAAAAACATGAAGGGAATGTTAAGATTGCAAAGTCAAGGCCTCAGAACCTAAAAAATCCAATGCCTGATGTTCAGCCTGGGATGCTAGAGCTTCTAAATGAAACAGTTGCAATACATTTTATCATGGGCAAAACAATATTCTTCTTTGAGGACCTTTCTGCAGTTCCATTTGTGTGATTTGGCACCCCTGGCACTGAGCTATAGAACTGCTTTGAAAAACAGGTTGCTGTGTTGACCCCATGCTATGAGACATACAAGGTGGGTGAGGTAATATCTTCTATTAGCCTTCTGCTAGTGGAAGGGACAAGCTTTCAAGGAAGTTGGTGCAAAAGATATTACCTCACCCACCTTGTGTCTCTTGGAAAAACACTGTCCATTAAACGGGTATGAGCATTCTTGTACAAAAGTGAAGTCACAGTCCTCCTTTGTATAAGGGAATTCACTCCCAACCACCTCAGTTCCTCCATGGCAGAGAGTGAACTGAACTCTGTCTTGTTAACAGGACTAGATCTTCCCTTAACTTAAAATGTTACTGTATACTAATCTAACTCTTTTCAAAATCAGAGAAAATAGCCCTTCCATCACTCCTTACCATCACTATGTTGAGCCCAAAAGGTCCATGAGGGCTTCAAGAGGTACCTCTTGCCCAGCTGTCATACCAATGACTGACATCTATGTCCAGTGCCATCTGTCTTTGGAGACCCACTCATTATCCCAGTATGTAATTTGCCATGCCTTGGTTCTCCACAACAGAGGACAGATATTTGAGTGTCCAGCCTCATTTAGCTTCTTAATAGAGTACCGCCTGAAATTCAAGGCTCATCAATGGTATAGAGAGAAACCTCTATGCTGACGTCCACTGACATAAGATGCAAGACATGCCTGTCTGCTTCAGCCTCTGCACAGCCTTCTACCATGGGCTCTCATGGACCTATACTGGGGTCAAGGACCTTGTCTGGCATGGTCAGCACCATTCATGTCTAAAGTGGTTCAAAAAAATAATTCAGCTGCTACTGTATAAAGCTTTGGTCCTACTGGCTGGGCACGAACTGTTGTCTGGCACTGTTTCCCTCTGCACCATCTCCCATGCCTGTAACAGATGTGTCCACAAGTGCTGATTTTTCTCCTGTCACCTTAGCCCATCGGGGCAAAAGAAAGGAAACGCTTACACTGTGGTCCACAAGGACAAAGTTGTCATACAACAGCTTTATGACTATGGTGGTCTCAGTTTTCCACTAATCTCAATGTATTTCCCTCTCTGTTTTCTTTCCAAGATCTTGCTCTCATTCAGGATAAGTACATCTTCACACCCTAGTTGGGAAGGATGCTCAGTTTTTATCCTGGACAGACAAAGACCTTTAGAAGATGTTATTGGTTGTGTGTAACATATGGCGATGCCAGGGAGAACCCATAACCAATCATAAACTCACTGGATTGAGAGATGTATTGAACATTATTACATTTTAGATAGGAAACAATACACCCTGGTTTAAAGACACATCCCATAAGTGGCATGGCAGCATCAATGCCTTAGGTTTATGTTGAAAACTAAGAGTTCAAAGAACTAATATGCAAATCCAGATTTACCGAACTGCAACAAATCCTTGTGGCGTAGCCAAAAACAATTCTGTATGTATTACTTCATGTATCTAACGGCATGTACACATGGGAATACTCAGGAGAGTTTATCCAAATTAACTAAATGTGTGAATTTCAAGTGGATTAGTTAAACTGCATTAAACCACTGTGTGTACACTCTCATGCAGAATTAAAGTGGCCTTAATTTGATGTCACTTAATTTGCTTTGGAAGGTGTGTCCCTGTCTAGACAAGCTCTAAGAATTTATTACAGCTGACCAAAAATTGGAACTTCTGTCCCGTGGAAAATTTACACTATTTTCCAATTTCATTCTGAAATCAGAATGAAAAGTTGAAGTTGTGCTGTAGAACAAAATAATTGGAAAAAAATCAATTTGAAAGTGGTGAAACATTTCACTGAGTCAGTCCAACATTAAAAGTATTTTCTTACAGTGGTGAATTGCATTATGGGAAGTTGTAAATTTGGTCTGATGTCCCTAGGGTGACCAGACAGCAAATGTGAAAAATCAGGACGGAGTGGAGGGTAATAGAAGCCTATATAAGAAAAAGACCCAAAAATTGGGACTGTCGCTATAAAATCAGGACATCTGGTCACCCTAGATGTCCCCATTCTTCTTTTTAGGCCGTGTTCCCTGGTTGGACTAAGTCTCCTAAGACATATCCAAGGCCATGTGAATCCCAAGATGCACCATCCCAATTGGACAGCGGGTAGACTGCATTCCACCATGGGAGATGGAGCCCAGCCCAGAGCAGAGATGAGGACATTAGAAATCTTAACTACAATATTCAGAGGCAATGTGCCACAACATGGAAAGGTAATTTAATGTTGACCTGACCCAAAATATATCTATTTGAGTCAATTCAACAAACTGAAATATTTTGATTTGGGTCAAACTGAGCTTAAATATTTAGTTTTCACTTTTCCTGACAAAATGTATGTGTATTAAGTGTTTACCACACTATGTACATCTCTCCTGTGTGCTCAAGCCTGCCGTATTATACCAGTGTAAAATGGGGAAAAAATACCACATTTATTTTTTGTCTATAACAGGTGTAGCAAGCAGGCATGTGGGTGATGTCTGCAATACTGAAAATCAGCGGCAGGTCAAAGATATTTTTTTTAAAGGTCTAGAAAACATGACCTATGAGGGAAGATTGAAAAAATTGGGTTTGTTTAGTCTGGAGAAGAGAAGACTGAGCGAGGACATGATAAGTTTTCAAGTACATAAAAGGTTGTTACAAGGAGGAGGGAGAAAAATTGTTCTCCTTTAACCTTTGAGGATAGGACAAGAACAATGGGTTTAAATTGCAGCAAGGGAGGTTTAGGTTGGACATTAGGAAAAACTTCCTAACTGTCAAGGTGGTTAAGCACTGGAATAAATTGCCTAGGGGAGTTGTGGAATCTCCATCAGTGGAGATTTTTAAGAGCAGATTAAACAAACCCCTGTCAGGGATGGTCTAGGTAATACTTAGGAGACTGAAGTAGCTGGCCTGTTGAAGTTCCTTTCACCCCTATGATTCTGTACGGTGAAGCAAGTGTTTTCTTACAGACAGTATAGTGTCTGCATCAATGGCCATCTCAACGCACACAGCAATTTAAGCCACAAATGAATTGGAAGAAAGACCTCATTGAGAACATGGACCTTCAAGTGATCTTAGCTGAAAAGAAAACAGGTAATGCTTCCCATTAATATGTGTTCTGTCTTCAATTAAACAGGATATACAAACAATATGTCTGACCTTGTCTGACATAGCAGCAGAAACTGCAATAGAGGAAAGAATTAATAAAGCCAAGGACAATCTAAGCAGCTTTTTGTTAGACAATACTGATGACAACAAAAAAATCCCTCCTGGACAAAACAGATCTTAAATTGTAACAGAAGATATAATCTCAGATCCTTCTGATATCCCTACAAATGAGAGAACACAGACATGATTGACTTTTGGGCAGAGATTATTTAGATCATGCATAGAAATCCAATGGGAAAACCCAGGCTAACTGACTAAATTCACACTATCCCAGCTAAACAAAGGGATAAATGATACTAGGCAAAACTAGAGATATAAACGGAATGTATATAAATTAATCCAGGATTCTTCTTTTCCCAAGCCTTCAGTTGAGCAAATTAGAAGTTAAAGTACAACATTCTCAGATGCAGGGGTGGGCAAACTATTTGGCCTGAGGGTCACATCAGGGTGCGAAACTGTATGGAGGGCCAGTAGGGAAGGTTGTGCCTCCCCAAACAGCCTGGTCCCCACCTCCCTATATACCCCCTACCACTTCCCGCCCCCTGACTGCCCCCCTCAGAGTCCCCCCCTGCTCCTTGTCTCCTGACCACCCCTCCCAGGACTCCCCATCCCAAACCGCTCCTGGGACCCCACGCTTTATCCAACCCCCCCCCGCTCCCTGTCCCCAGACTGTCCTAACCCCTGTCTACACCCCACCCCCAACAGGCGCCCTGGGACTCCCATGCCCTATCCAATCCCCCCCGCTCCTTGTCCCCTGACTGCCCCACCCCGACCCCTATCCACACTCCCACCCCCTATCCAACCCCCCCTGCTCCCTGTCCCCGGACTGCCCCAACC